CCATTCCCCTTCTCCCTCTCCCTTTTCCTTTCCCTTTCCCTTTCCCTTTCCAACCTCCTTTTCCCCCGGTCCCTCATTCCCCTTCTCCCTCTCCCTTTTCCTTTCCCTTTCCAACCTCCTTCTCCCCCTTTCCACCCCCCCCCCCTTCTCCCTCCCTCACCCTCCATTCGCAACATATTCGCACCCGAAGAAAGCTGATTTCATTTCGCGCGTTGCCACCCCGGCAAAAGTTCCTTCCTTCGTAGGGCATCATTTCCTGCCGGCTTGCGAATGGCCTCTAAATGTCAGTGATGCCAAATCCGGCGGAATCTCCTCTTGGGCTGTGGGTGTTTTGCCACCTCCGCGCCAATCCCCCTTTTCATCGCGGGTTACTTGGTGCGCCCTTCCTTTCATGCGCGGGAAGAAGGAAGGAAGGAAGGAAGGAAGGGGGGAGGTTGGCGGTGGTAGGGGGGGGGAGGTTAGCGGTGGTAGGGGGGGGGGCAGGTGTGGAAAGTATAGGTGTAGGTAATATGAATAATATAGGTGTAGGAGATAGTGTAGACGCCGTAGGTGTAGATGTCATTTTCTTTTTTCAGTTTACTATATACATCACTGGTGTGCATGTAATTTATACACTTTTAAGTATTATATATTTTGCTTGTCTGTTTGGTGCTGAGGGTGCCGACTTATATTGTGTATATATGTACTTTGGGCGAACACACACTTCAGGATATTATATATATATATATATATATATATATATATATATATATATATATATATATATATATATATATATATATATATACACACATACAGATGGATATACTATGTACACACACGCACACGCACACGCACACGCACACGCACACGCACACGCACACGCACACGCACACACACACACACACACACACACACACACACACACACACACACACACACACACACACACACACACACACACACACACACACAGTGTGTTTGATATACACACAAGAAATAAGCCCTCTGTTCCCCCCCCTCTCCGCCTTCCACCCTCTTCCTCTTCGTCGCGGAAACCGAGAGCGGCATATCGCTGTCGGGCGTGTGGGGGGGGGGGGTGTCAAGAACAATAAATGCAGAAAAAGGGACCGATCTTCGGGCAAGGAAGACCACGAGATGGCATCGTGTATCATTTTACTGCACGAGTATATTGTGTTTTTTATGCATTTTACATCTACTCCTCCTCTTCCTCCTCTTCTTCCTCCTTCTCCGTCTCATCAACTTTGTTCTCCTCGTCTTCCTCCTCCTCCCCCTCCCTTCCCCCGTTTGCACAGGGGCCAAGAAACCGGAAATTGAAAGGTAGGGGAGGCGATGGGGAAGAGGGAGGTGAAGGGAGAGAAAATCGAGGTAAAATGTCGTACCCTCGCTCGCTCTCCCTTTGTCTCCCCATATCTCTCTTCCTCCCTCCCTTCCTCTTTCTCTTTTTCCTTTCTCCCCCGCCTCCCCTCCTCCACGCGAATGCTTCCTTGCCTTCCTTCTCTCCCTCCCTCCCTTCCTCCTCTCCTTACTCCATTTCCCCCCTCCCCTTATTCTTCTTCATACTTATCCCTCCCTTCCTCCTATTCCCCTTTCTCTTTATTCCCACTCCCTCTATTCCCCTTCCTCTTTATTCCCACTCCCTCTATTCCCCTTCCTCTTTATTCCCACTCCCTCTATTCCCCTTCCTCTTTATTCCCACTCCCTCTATTCCCCTTCCTCTTTATTCCCACTCCCTCTATTCCCCTTCCTCCTTATTCCCCCTCCCTCTATTCCTCTTATTACTCCCCCTCCCTCTATTCCTCTTATTATTCCCTCATCGCCCCGCCCACTCACGCCTCCGTTCCCCCCAGGAAAGCGTCGCGGCACATGGTGGACGCGTGGCTGGTGTCGCACGCCCTCCCGCAGAACATGGGCGGCCCCGGCGGTGCCCTCGGCGGGGGCGCGGCCGGGGGCGGAGCCGGAGGAGCAGGAGGGGCGTTCGGCGAGGGCCCCAACGGCAGCGCGCTCGGGGGTCAGCCTCCAGGGTCCCGCGCTTCGTCAGGTGAGTGGCTGCCCCGCCTGCGCCCGCGGAGGGGGGCGGGGCCCGCAGGCATTTCGTGGTGCCCGGGCGGTTGTTACTACTGTTGGTATTTTTAGTATTGTTGTCATTGTTAGTATTCTTATTCATATTGTTTTTGTTTTTTTATATTTTTATATTATTATTGTTATTGATATTTTTTTATTATTACTGGTATTAATATATTTTTATTATTAGTGTTATTAATATATTTTTATTATTAGTGTTATTAATATATTTTTTATTATTAGTGTTATTAATATATTTTTTATTATTAGTGTTGTTAATATATTTTTTATTATTATTGTCATTGTCTTTATTGTTGTTATCATGAGCATTAATTAGTATTATTGTTGTTGTTGATATTATTATTATTATTATTGTTGTTGTTGTTATTGTTGTTACTATCAACAATATCATTATCATTATCATTATTGGTTCAAATGATGATTTTCGTCATTATCATCAGTGTTATAGATAAAACGTATGATTGTATTAGCGGCAAGTGAATGTTATAGAGCAGCAAAAATAGTGTTAATAACAGCGATAGTAGCAATGGTGATTAATTTAATGACGAGGCACAGTGACCAGTTGAATGACGAAATTAATGATAATAAGGCTCATTACATTAATTAAAATAATTCGCTTGACACAGACGCATACGCGCGCGCGCACACACACACACACACACACACACACACACACACACACACACACACACACACACACACACACACACACACACACACACACATACACACACACACACACACACACACACACACACACACACACACACACACACACACACACACACACACACACACACACACACATACACACACATACATACATACATACACATACACATACACATACATACACACATACACACATACACGTACAGATACACTTAAAGTACACACACGTGCAATAAAATGATGCTACTATACTTACTACTGATACTTTTTATAATATTGATATGTGTGAGAGAGAAAAGGACTGCTATTGTTTTTATTATTGCTGCTATTATTATTGTTCTTGTTCTTTATTATCAGTTATTATTATTATTATTATTATTATTATTATTATTGTTATTGTTGTTGTTGTTGTCTTTATTGTTATTTTTATTATTGTTATTATCATTATTGTTATTAACATTGATATTGTTATCGTCATTGATATTGTTATTGGTATTACGTTTGTAACATCGTTTTTGAGATTATTGTTGCTGTTGTTGGTATTGTTTGTGTTGTGTTGTTAATATTATTATTTTTTGTTTTGGTATTATTATTATTATTATTATTATTATTGTTGTTGGTGTTGTTATTGTTATTATTATTAATATTGTTATTATTATTATTATTATTATTATTATTATTATTATTATTATTATTATTATTATTATTATTGTTTATTAATTTTTGTCATTACTAATATTATTGATATCATCATTATTATCATTATCATCACCATCACCATTGTTGTTTATTATTGTTGTTATTTATTGATATTATTATTATTATCATCATCATCATTATTTTCACCACAAACCTTATTATTATTGTTGCCATTGTTATCAAGGGAAGTGTTATACGATAATCTTATTCAACCCTATTGCAAAATGTGTTTATTAAGCAGGAAATATGAACTCATTTGAATTTTGTAAGAGTATTCTGTAAGACACTGAGTGCTCTCTGAGTGATCGCGTCGAGTGATTAACCTCCACCTCTGCCCATGCTGCCCCTGCCCTTCCCTTTCCCTTGCCCCACGCCCCTCCCTTTCCCTCTCCCCTCTTGCCCCTCCATTTTCCCTTTACCTTCTTGCCCCTTGCTCAATGTCCTTCCCTTTTCCCTACTTCTTTCTCCCTTCCCTCTATCTCCCCCTACCTCTCTCTCCTCCTGTACCCCCCCCCTGCCCCTCCCGTCTTTGCCTTTCTACACTTGCCCCTTCCATGTTCCCTTCACCTCCCCCCCCCTTTACCCTTCCATTCACCCATACCCTCTTATTGTCATTCCCCTCCCCCTCTCTGGCCCAACCTACCCTGATACGCCCATCCTCATGCGTCATACCCTCCTCCTCCCTCCTCCCCCCATCTGCCCATACCTCTTCCCCTCATGTCTTCGGTCGTCTATCCTTTTCTGCCCCTTCCCCTCCCCCTTCCCCTCCCCTACCCTTCCCCTACCCTTCCCCTACCCTTCCACATCATTTCCTGCCCCCTTCGCCTTACCCCCCATACATCCCCCTCCCCCAGGCCCCGACAGGAAGGTGGCGGTGCGTCGCCTGCCTCGCGCGCGCAGCTTCGAGCCGCTCTCGTCGTGGTGCAGAGGCGGCGGCGGCGGCGGCGGCTGGGGCGGCGGCGGCACGGCGTGGATCGGTTCGCATCGGCTCTCTCTCTTGTTTCCTTTTGTTTTCTTTCTTGGTGTGCTTTCTTGGTTGTGATGATGTTTACGAGTTTTTTTATTGTGTTTATTTTTGTTGTCTTTTTTTGTATTATTGGTGTTTTTTTTTTTTGGCCGTGTTTTTTATTGTTATTACTTGCCTTCATTTTTCTGCTCTCTCTCTCTCTCTATCTTGGTTTCTTCGTCTTCTCTTGTCCTTCCCTACTAACTCTCCAGTTCATTCATGTTTCCCTTCATGTCCTTCTCCTCTTCCTATTATTCCTCCTCCTGTTCCTTCTCCTCTTCCCCCCCCCTTCCCCACCCCATATCCGTCTCGAGATCATAGAATTGGTTGTCTTCCTTGGCGCCCGCTGACGCTACGGGCTTTGTTCTCTGGCTGTCAGAGGATTTTCTAGCGTAACAGGTAATCATCTATCTGTTTGACACACACGCGTATGTATGTTTATGTATGTATGTACGTATGCATGCAACCCCCACCCCCCTGTATGAAGAAGGGTATATAGCATGGAGCATTGTTGCAACGGAAGCTGGAGCTCCATTAT